TTTGAAGATCCTCTAAAAACAAATCGTTCTGATTCAATCCTGTGTCTGAATGTGCAGTTCCTTCTACCTGAAAGATTTCTTCTTTTCTTGTGAATTCTTGCTCGTCTTCAAGGTCAGTTTGATTCAACCTTCTCTGATCCCTGCCTACCACCCAATCTGCTTCCTCTCTAGCGCTCCCACTTCACCAGCAGACCACTGATCCACAAACCCTTCTCTTTTCACTGTTACATACCCACACCTGTCTTCCTCTCCTTCTCCCATGCTGCAGATTTCACCATCCATCATCATAATCATTCCTTTAAAAACATCCTTAGCTCCTTTGTCCTGTCTCTTTCAGAGGTATTTACTCCATAAAACGCCAAATCTTGTCAAATCCAACCATACCCTTTCTCAATAAGTCTGAAGTTTATTTTGAATTCATGACTTTGATATAAAGCTTCACACTCAACAGGGACCACTGGACCTACACTCTCTCTCAGTAAGCTCGTTTTCCTATTCTCTGAGATGATTATTTTCACATCTTCTTGCATGCTCCAGCCCCACTTTGACCTTGACTCTACCTTTTCTGATTTATGCCTCATGGAGAAAATCAGAAGCCACCAGAATGAAACACCCTCCTCCTGCAACCAGATCAACAAACCTACCTGCACCTGTTTCCATATTCTCACTTGTCCTTTCTACTTGTGATCTGGAGCCAGTCCCCTCTTGACTTCTCAGTATCACTGCTGTCTTTATCACTATCTATCTGTGCAACCGGCTCTTCCTCTTCCATCAATATAAAAACATGCCTTTATTATCTTCTATTTAATATTCCTTTGACTCCCATGTACCTTCTCTGGCTTCCTGTCTATGCACATTTGTACAACAAACAAAAGTCTCCATGTGTATCTTGACTACTGTACCCCCAGTTTCTTGAATCCACTCCAGCCAGACTTTCCCCTCCAACATTCTAGAGCTTATGTCAAATCTTCAAACTAGAGTGAAAAGACATCTTTGGGAGAGAAGTAGATGGAGTGGTGAGGGAAAGGGGGGGTGCCTGTTTGGGCAGTTTATGTGAAACATCCCCTTGGTGATGGAGGTGGAGGCAGAGAGCCCAATGCCAGACTGTTCTCCCCATCCAGACGGAGGGCTGAGAACCGGGACAGAGCAGAGTTCTCGGACACTCATGGAGTAAATGTTATCTCTAAGAGCAAGTATCTGAGGGAGGAAAAAGGGGAATGAGGGTATTTCCTACATTTGGAGGCTGACTGAAGAAGTCAGATGTGAAGAATGAGGAAAGTACATTGTTGTAGAAACTAAAGAAATAAAAAACAGAAAGTGAGAGAGATGGTAAGGGCCTGGAAGTCACAGGAATAAATGTTACCAAGGGCTCAGGGAGTGGTTAATACCTATAAATGGCTTCCTCTGAGGAATAAAGGGGACAGGAGAAGATAAAGCAAATGCAAATATGCTCATTAAAATAAACTACCAGAACAGATGATACAGTACTTACCCAATGGCTACTAAATCTTCATGATGAGGTGAGCAAGTAAGACAGAAAATTGTCCTGGGTTCTATAAAGTGGTGCTGGCTGTCATTTCTGTTAAGCCAGTAACAGAAAACTACTCCCTTTTCATCTCCAGATACTATTAAATCCTTCACTTGAGGAGACCAATGCAATGCTGATATTGTATGCTTTAAAACAAGACAAAAATACATTTGCTTCTCATTTGTCAGTACTGAATTTTTCTTTGTTTTTAACCTGTACAATACTAGGCACATTGATAGGTACTTACCAATGCCACTTGTAATACCAAGCGCACATGAACCAAATGGAAGAAGAATTTACCCTCCTAAGGATCGAAGAACCATTTAAAAACATTCCTTCCTTTAATAGCTTAATGCAAAGTTCTTACTAAGATTAAGTGAGTCTTTCCCTTTTCTACATTCTCTCAAAAGGCAGGTTTATCAAGTAATTACCTGGTTTAAAAAGAAGTTTCATTCACTCATTTACAGTTTATATCAGGAAGTCTTTTTCATGTAAAGAACCAGAGAGCAGACATTTTAGACTTTGTCAGCCATACTATCTCTGGTACCACTACTCATCTCTGCTGTTTTAGTATGGAAGCAGCCAATACTTAAATGAATGACTGTGGCTATATTCCAATAAAGCAGTTTGCAAAAACAGGCAGCACTGTATCTTGCTGACCTCTGGTTTATATGTATCTTTTTCCAAAAAAGTTTTGAGGCATCTTACAATATAGAGTTTGTCATGCAGTTAAGGAACATGATTATAAAAGCTAACTTGCACAGATGAGCTAGCATACTTGAAACAAAAGAACCCCCAGCAGATAGACAGTAATGGTCCGAGAAACCAGTAAGCCATGATACCTGATGGAGTGCGTGTTCTGTTACAACTGCTTTTGTCTCTACATCCCAGATTTTCACAGTTCCATCATCAGAGCTGGTGGCACAGAGGTTGTACTGACCCGGGTGATGAGAAAATGTGAAGCCAGAGACCCTTTCGGTGTGTCCCACCAATTCCCCTAAGACTTCAAGCAAAACAAGAATTCAGGTTAGAGTGCTACCTAAGATTCCCCGCAGAATCATACTGTAGTTAGATGAGTGGGACCTCACTTATCCTGTGGTATTACAAAAAGTATCCAGGCACTCAAAATCAGAAATTCCAAGTGCTGGTTCTGGCTCTGCCACAAGACTTCAGCCCAGTCATTTTATCTCCTTGAGCCTCACTCGTTTCAACCGTAAAATGCTGCTGATATCCCTTGATGTTCACAGTTCACAGGCTGAGGAGTGGCTCAAATGAAGAATGTAAAAGTGATTCTTGTTTAGATATGGCCAGAGGTCATTTGGGAAAGAATAAACAACTGGCTTGCCATATCCCAAAGTTTAATCAAACCTACTTTAGAGCATGAAAGCATCTGGCTCAACTCATTCATCTTACAGAAACAAGCATGTATTTCCAGGATCTTGCTTTAGGGCCTGGAAGTTGTAGGCAGCCCCTAAACCCAGGAAGGCTCGCGGGGGCCCGCGCGCGCTGCGTTGGGGAGGGAGGCCACAGATGTTGTAAATGCCTGAGTCTACAAAGGAATAACTTCGGTGAGCGAGCGATCCTACGTGAGAGCGCCAGGAGGCGGGACCGCTCAGCCACAACGTGGTGTAGCTCAATCTTGGAGACGGGGACGCAACTCGGCGTAGTAATGACTGTGAGCAGATCATTCTGCCTACCCGGGCCTCAGTTTGCCCATCTGTAGAGAAAGGTAGCTAGAAACGCCGACCGGGCGCCTCAGGCGAACCCAGAAGGGCAGGAAGGCCGGGGCCCAGAGGTGGGGGGTTACCTCGAAATGGGGGCGTCCCAGGGATCGCGCCGGCGTTCGGGCCCACGCGGACAAGAAAGACAGAGGTCCGCGCTGCGAAGCCGAAGAGGCCCCCGGGCACGGCATCGCTGCATCGGGCGCAGTACCAGTTAGGAGAGGGCGGCAGCGTGCGCGGATCCTGTCCCATGATCACAGGCCAGTAGAGACGAACCAAGGATGAACCACAGGGACAGACCGTTCGCTGCCCCACGCCGTAGCCGGGAAGGGGGCGGGGTTGGCTCGGAGCCCCGCCTCGCCGGGCCCGCCGCTACGGCGCGCGCCGAGGTCCAGGCCACACCGCGAGCTCTGCGCTCTCTCTCCCCCCTCCCCCCATCTCGCCCCCCGCCCCGCCACCGCCGGGCTGGGTGGCAGGCAGTCGCGCGCTCTGGCTCTGCCTCCCAGCCTACCCGCGGACAGAAGGTCTGGTGCAGCCTGAGCCTAGCCCGGGGGTTAGGCATTCTCAGGTCCTACAGCAAAGTACATAATTAAGGGCTTAGACTAGTGGAGTCACCTCCCCGCACAAACGTTTTATTTTTGGACCAGTTCAACCACTATCCCATCAACTATTTTTGAACGCTATGTGCCAGGGCACTTTGCCAGCTCTAGAGATTCATTCAAAGCATCTACAACAAGCCAGTTAACAAAAAGATAAAAGTTCGAATCAAATCAAAAGGCAAGAAAGAGTTAGTTTCGGCAAGTGGGTGGAAATTCTGGCTCTAAAGTCTTACTATTCGAAGAGGAGCAGAGCAGAGTGACTGTTGATTGAGTGCCGACTCTGTGAAGGGAATTGTATGTGGTTAACTGCTGTGGAGGAAAGGGAATGGGAGTTTCAGATTTTGCGCTTGCACTCTCCTACTCCTGTATTGCTTGTTTGCATAGGGTAAGTGGCACTCCTGCACAGGCAGCGAACGAAACCTGAAATAGCTGTCCTTATGTAGAGAGGTCAAGCATATATTTTGGCTGTGGGTAGGAGGACCAATTTTGGAGGCATCCAGCCCCAGATTGAATTAGTGGTTTTGCCAGCTGTTGGAGAGACTTTAATCTATCCTAATCTGTTTCCTCATTTGAAGGAAGATGATAATCCATGCCTTGTTGGATTGCTACGAGGAGTACATAGATTTAGTGGAACGCCTGCCAGGCATATATGGTAGCAAGTTGCCGGTGAGAATTTATTTCTTGGAGGTCAGCTTGGAGATTAATATGGGAATTAGTAATCATACTTTGTGTTTGAGCTGTTTGTACTTTGTAGAGCTTTCCACACGATCTCTAGTGATCTTCACAACAAGCCTGTGTTGTAGGGATAGTTATTTCTGTTTTGTTGAGAAGAAAACTGAGGCCCACCCAGGTTAGGTGGCTGGTTCACCGTCTCTTTTCTATAATATTTCCGGCCATTTATGAGGTGAGGTTTCTCAATCTTTCTTCACCTCGATGAATGTCCGGAAACTCACTAGTTTTGGGCTTTATTAAAGTCATTCATTCCCATGCAAGGCTGGCCGGATCACACCCAAAGCGCAGGCGGTGTGTTCGCGGTCGTCTCCATGACAGCATCCGGGGTGTAAATACTGCTGCGTCTCCAGCGGGGGAGGGCAAATTGAGGACTGCGCATGCGCTTTGTCCAGACAGTGCTTGAACTCGGAGGCTCCCGTAGCGGGGGAGGGAGAAAGATGGCGGCGTCAGTGCTGGAACGTATGGGTAGGGATTTCTTAGTGATTTAGGCGCGGTAGAGGGGAGTGGAGGTGGGAGTCTGAATTGACCGCTTGTGTTAATGTTTCAGGTACATCATGGATGCAGAATCTGAGGGGGAAGCTGGCCTTAGGGTAAGTCTTTCATATCGGAGTTTCAGAGGGCTCAAGGCCTCCTTCCCAGTTTGTCAGTTAATTACTGAGCGCCAGTGTGCCACCCACGGCATTGAGGCTCCGGGGCTGGGGAAGCCAACGAGATAGGCAGTCTCTGCTTGGTCACTCCATCATTCCATCGCCGTAGCTCTGAGGGAATCAGGATAACCCGTTTGGGGACATTGTAAATCTCTTCTCCAAATAATCTCTGAACATGGTTACACTCTCCCAACCGTGTTGGGAGCGTCCGACCTTTCCAGTTACCTCTCTGGTTACTTGCTTCCCTGAGCAGGGACTGTGCTGTAGATCACCCACGCTTTACAACGTGCCTGGCATTATGTTAAACGCTTTATATGCATCATCTCATTCTCATAATATCTTGCATAGTGTAGGTATTGATGGGCCCATTTTTCCGACAAGGAAATTGAAGCGCAAAATGACTTTTCCTGGGGCGCCTGGGTGGCTCAGTGGGTTAAATCCTCTGCCTTCGGCTCAGGTCATGATCCCAGGGTCCTGGAATCGAGCCCCGCGTCGTCGGGCTCTCTGCTCTGCAGGGAGCCTGCTTCCTCCCCTCTCTCTCTCTGCCTGCCTCTCTGCCTACTTGTGATCTCTCTGTCAAATAAATAAAATCTTAAAAAAAAAAAAAAAGACTTTTCCTAAGTTTCTCCGAATCACTGGAAGTTTTAAAGCTTTATACTGTATTCTCTAGAGCATTCTTAGACCTCAGGACAAATGCGTTTTTTTAAGGTTAGGGAATGCAGTTAAGTTAGAACTGTCAAGGAGTCTTTATCTGCCACCTTCTTGTCCCTCTTATGCAGTACAGCTATTGATAGTTGGAGATTGATAATCTGAGTATAAATTATCTGATCGGCGCATTTGTTGGAATTTATTTTGGTTTAGTTCACAGGCTTCCAGGACAGATAAATTGGGTGTGTATCCACTTTTTAAACTGTATGATTTTGGAAAAGTTACTTCTCTTTTCTAAGTTTTAGTACATACATATGCTAGGAGAGTAATATTAGTACCTATGTCATAGATTTTTTATGAGGATTAAATGAGGTAATGGATATGAAGTGTTTAGTATTGTGTATGGCATGTAACAATCCCGTTCTAAATTCTAACTGCCATTACTGTTTTTAATCATTATAAATTGTTACTGAGTTCACATTATATTTAGCTCTGTTTCCAGTTCTTTGGTCAGGAGACCCAGGAGGTGGGCTAAAGAAGAAAATGGGAGGCAGTGCCCCTTAGGATTTGTCTATACTTTGCATTTTTTTAAGATTGTCTCTTATTATTCCATCCTAGTTATGCTAATTTACTTACTTCACCTGAATATGCTGTTATTTATTTGCTTCTTGGCTTTCATGCTGTGCCTTCACTTCCTGTCTATAATATGAGTTCTAATTATTTAAACCCTGTTCATATGTTTCTTATGTAGATAATCTCAGATCTCATTGGAAAGGAAAGAAATTAATCTCTTCTTTTAGCACGTGTGTCTCGAATAGTGGCTTCATGTTATGTTTTTGTGCCCTTTACCAGCTTGTATACCCTGGATAAGTATGAACAGTTCTCGTTTCTCTTTATAGTTCCAGGTTAGGGTCTTGCACAAAGTGAATATTTGGTAATGTTTGTTGGCTTAAACTGTCCTGCACTGAGTTACACTTGGCAGCTCTGAGCAAGCAACTTAAGCAGTTTGTCTTCAGTCTTTTTATCTATGTAATACAGGATTTTGCTGGATAATCCCTAAGGCTCTTTTTAGCCCTGAAGTTACATACTTTTATGAATCCCTATTCTGGACTTTCTTTTTTAAAATATTTATTTATTTATTTTAGAGAGAGATGGGAGGGGCAGAGGGAGAGGGAGAGTAAATCCCAAGCAGACTGCCCATGGTGCATGGAGCCGGAGGTGGGGCTCGATCTCAGGACCCTGAGATCATGACCTAAGCCTAAATCAAGAATCAGACACTTCACTTGACTGAGCCACCCAGGCTCCCTGAAAATCTGGCTTATTAACCATCCACATGGGTATGACATGATAACAAGAACCTTTTGGAACAGAGAATTCATGCTCCTTAGTCTGCAAAATCCCTTGTCTGCCCCTCCCCACCCCCCTTTTTCCTGTCACTTTAGCTAATAGTGACTTTCACCTGGGGGCAATTTTGCCTCCATCCACTACTTTCAGCCCCGGAGACATTTGGCAATGTCTGGAGACGTTTTTGGTTGTCACAACTCAGGTGGAGGGCGCTATTGACATTTAGCGTCTAGAAGTGAGGAATTCTGCTAAACATCCTATAAGACACGGGACAGTCCCCACAACAAAGAATGATCTGGCCCACAGTGTAAATATTAGAGAGGTTGAGAAACTTCTGGGTTTGTCATGGTTCAAAGTTGCTGGAATTTCTTTTTTTTTTTTTTTTTTTTTTTTTTTTGGTTTGTTTGCTAAACTCTTGTTTCCTTGTTTGATTGTCCTTGACTTTCACAAAATGAAATTATATTGAGTTATGACAATATATGTATCACTTCAGTCCTTTATTTTAGATTCTAACTGAGGCAAGATAGAGAATGTTCTTTTATTTCACTCTCAAGTGTGCGATTAACTTAATGTTAGCTGAAGTAAATTGAGAACGGAGAATTTTTTACCTGGTGCATGTAATAACAATAACATGATATTCTCATGTTGAGCCAGAGGCCAGTATTATCTTCACTTGGGATTTGGGTGTACCTTGTACTAAAGTTCAAAATGAACTTTGAGCAATAGATAGGAAGTATTATTTCTCAAATTGTGACTTTTTAAAAAAATTTTATTTATTTGATACAGAGAGAGACAGAGAGAGAGAGAGAGCACGTGGGTGTGAGCTGTGGGGGGGGAGGTGGCAGGCAGAGGGAGAAGCAGACTCCGTGCCAAGCGGGAAGCCTGATGTGGGACTGGATCCCAGGACCCTGGGGTCATGACCTGAGCTGAAAGCAGACGCTTAAGTGACTGAGCCACCTGGGTGCCCCTCAAATTGTGACTTTAGAAACTCAGATACTGTTTTATCTGAATTCTTAATCCTAAAGTTGGCTTTGTATCTGCTACTTTTCCATGTCTAATGACTATGGGAAGAATTTGAAAAGTGACACTCAAACTGAATCCTTAAATATTGGTAGATGGAAGACATGAGAGTAACAGGAGTAAGGAAGTTCATATGCTAGTCTCAGTATACCACCTACTTTATTTTTTTTTTTTTAATTTTATTCATTTATTTGACAGATAGAGATCACGAGTAGGCAGAGAGGCAGGCAGAGAGAGAGAGAGAGAAGGAAGCAGGCTCCCTGCTGAGCAGAGAGCCGATGTGGGCTCGATCCCAGGACCCTGGGATCTATGACCCGAGCTGAAGGCAGAGGCTTTAACTCACTGAGCCCCCCAGGCACCCTTACCACCTACTTTCTGTTTGAGGTCTGACAGTCTCACCACAGTGTGGGCACCCGTGTGTATACACAGCATGTGTGTACAGGGACTTTGGAGAATTGGTTCAGGCCTACCTTCCTGAAGCTAAAAGGACTTGAACTTCCCAATAAATGAAAGGATATAATAAATATCAGTAATGATACTTGACTTTCAAAATGAAAGCTAACTAAAAGTTAGTCCTGGATGCCTTTTGTTTTTTAAAAAAGGTTTTAACTAGGTTTGATTCTTTAGAATGCCAACAATGAACTAGGGTGCTAGGCAGACTTAAAATTTAATATTTATTGGAAAAAATTTTACAGAAGGAAATGGATTCCAGCAATAACTCAGGTTCTCCTTTGTTAATTCCACAAATTTCCTTTTCTTGAGTTCATTTTCTCTAGTGAGTCTTCATGGTATTTCTTACTTAAAAAGGTCTCAAAAGTTGTAGGTTTTGAATTAGGTAGTTAAGTGTTGAATTAAAGATTTTTGATTTACTTTATAATTTCTTCATTTTCTGCTTTAATTTGGTATTATTCCAACAGTTGATCAGGAGAGAGCTTTTGATTTAATACACTCCTGAATTAAGTGCTGTGTTTGGAGTAATTTTTTTTTTTTTTTAAAGATTTTACTTATTTATTCGACAGAGAGAGATCACAAGTAGGCAGAGAGGCAGGCAGAGAGAGAGGGGAAGAAGGCTCCCTGCTGAGCAGAGAACCCGATGCGGGGCTTGATCCCAGGACCCCGAGATCATGACCTGAGCTGAAGGCAGAGGCTTAACCCACTGAGCCACCCAGGCGCCCCTGGAGTAATACTTTAATTTAATTTGATTATAGTTGTTTAGTATTCACTTGATAATTCATTTTATGAGCCATTTGAGCCCTGAAAGTATTGTAGGTATTCAGACATCTTTGTCCTTATTTATTCATAATGTATTTAATTTATTAAATTAATATGGTGATATTTAATTCATTGAATGTGTATTGATTTGAGTATAAGACACTGTGCTAGATATGATGGATACAGAAAGCACAGGTCTTACCCTCGAGCATTTTTTCAGACTGGTTGGTGTAACTGTGATTTCATTGAAGAAGACTTAAATAGAAGCCAAGGGATTTGTGTTCCTGTAATCCTGTGTCAACCATGAGATTCAAGATAGAATTAAGGTTCAGAGAGCCCCTAGAGATGATGTACTCCAATTCCTCTTTTCATAAAAAACTGCAGGCCCAAAGAGTTGATGAACTTAGTGTACCCCTGAATTACAGCAGCACAGAAGCAAGCAGTCAGATTACAAACTTGAGAAGAAGGTTTGAAATTGTGTAATATAAAGTTTACAGTTCACAGTGTTTAGTTTTTTAGAGAACAGGAGAGAGGAACTCTTCAGATGGTCTGATTTAAAATAAATATTAATCAGCGTTTATCATGTGCTGGGCACTCTAGGGTGCAGTACATTAATTATTTATCCACCACTGACAGAATAAAGTGGGCATTATTCTTCTCATTCTAAAAGTAATAACATCAATTTTATTGAGCCCTTTTAAGTGTCAGGTTAAGTATTTTACTAAAGTATCTTATTCGAGCTCCTTAAGAAGCCTGTGAGGTAATTATGGTTATTATTCCATTTACCAATGAGAAAACTGAGCTCTGGAAAGTTACGTGACTTCCTTAAGGTCATTTATATCATATTAGAGTTAAGATTTAGACTCAGGTTAATTGGAGGGGGAGATGAACCTTGAGAGACTATGGACTCTGAAAAACAATCTCAGGGTTTTGAAGGGGAGGGCGGTGGGAGGTTGGGGGACGCTGGTGGTGGGTATTAAGGAGGGCACGTATTGCATGGAGCACTGGGTGTGGTGCATAAACAATGAAATCTGTTACACTGAAAAGAAATTAAACTAAAAAAAAAAAACAAAACGATTTAAACTCAGGTTTACTTGATTCCACAGTCTCTGTTCTCATCCCTTGGCTTATAGTTTTGTTTTGTTTTTTTTTTTAGGAAATTCTGCTAACATTATGTATCCTAGTCTTGTGCTTTTCTGTTAAAATAGCGAAACCTGGGACGCCTGGGTGGCTCAGTTGGTTGGGCAGCTGCCTTCGGCTCGGGTCATGATCCCAGTGTCCTGGGATCGAGTCCCACATCGGGCTCCTTGCTCGTCAGGGAGCCTGCTTCTCCCTCTGCCTCTGCCTGCCATTCTGTCTGCCTGTGCTCGCTCGCTCTCTGACAAATAAATAAATAAAATCTTTAAAAAAAAAAAAATAGCGAAACCTAAATGTGGATGGCAAAGGTTTTGTCAAGTATTTTGATGGTACTGTAAAATGGTGAACTTGAGGTAGAGCAGGAGAAACGAGCTAGGAGGAAAATAGATTTTTTTTTAAAGATTTTATTTATTTATTTGACAGAGATCACAGGTAGGCAAAGAAGCAGGCGGTGGGTGGGGGGGAAGCAGGCCCTCTGCTGAGCAGAGAGCTGGATGTGGGGCTCTATCCCAGGACCCTGGGATCATGACTGGAGCCGAAGGCAGAGGCTTTAACCCACTGAGCCACCCAGGCGCTCCAGGAAAATAGATCTTTAAAGTTCTTTAGTCTGGGGGAGCCTAGGTGATTCTGCTCCCTACTCAGTGAGGTGTCTGCTTCAGGATTCTCTCTCTTCCTCTGCTCCTCCCCTTGCTCACGCTTGCTTGCCTTCTCTCTCTCTATGAAATAAATAAATCTTATAAAAAAATTCTTTTTAGTCTGAATGGTTTAAAAACTAAAAACAAAGGCCTTGCTAAGTGTATTATCCAATTGCATAAATTGTGTGAAAATCTGCCAGTTTACAATAATTTTGAATGTTTAAGTCTGGGTTGAATATTTACTTGGTATCCGTGTGCCGGATATTGTCCTTCGTGCTAGATTACAGAGGATGGTATACTTGCCCTCAGAATGCTCAGATGCACATTTACTACAGGAACTCATTCTTCTACAGCCACCTTCTAGTACCATAGTCCCAACTCGCTGCTGTACGGCTGGCAAGAACAGAGTACGAAGATAGTGGGGAGAATGGTTGGTTGTCTGGGAGAAGGGATCAGTTGATGCCTGGCATTCAGGTGACATTTGAGCTGGAGCTTAAAACAGGATAAGCATTTCATTCAGGAGATGATGATTGAGAAAAAACCAATATAATCAAAAGTATAAAGATATGAAAGTATGTGGTTTGTTCAGAGAACAAGGAAAGTTTGTGTGGTCAGCCCATAAGGTGAATGACCAAGATGGCCAGGATTAGATTAGAAAAGGCCTTGTGTGTCTTACTAGGAATTTAGACTCTGTATTCTGCACAGCAGGGAAACACCTAAGTCTGTGTGTTATTTGGATATACCCAGACATTTAAAGAGCCCCCCCCCAATTGGGGGAAGTAGATAATATGATGAACTTATCAACCAGCTTCAACTCGTGGCCAATCTTGTTTTATCTATGGCCCCTACTATCTCCTATCATATTTTGAAGTAAATCCCAGACATCATATTATTTAATTCATAAATATTTCACAATATATCTCACTAAAAAGTATCAGCCAGTTAATGTTCAAATTTCCAATGGTTAAATAACTGTTGTACTTTTAAAATTGCAATCAACATATTGAAATTAGTTGATATTTTAAGTCTCTTAATCAGTAGGTTCTTTATTTAGCTCTTTATTTTTCCCCTTGTAGTTTATTTGTTGGTGAAAGTAGGCTGTTTGTCTTGTAGAATTTGTACAGCCTGGATTTTGCTGAGTGTATGCGTCTCATATTGTTTAACACGTTCCCTGTCTCTGCATTTCCTGTATTGAATCTAGAAGCTCCATTAATTCAGGTTTGTTTCTTGCAGAAAGACTACTTTGTGGATAGTGGGTAGTGATTTCCTTCCTCAGGAGGCATGTGATGCCAGCTTTATCTATTAATTTCTTAGGGTTTACAAAATACTGTGATTTGTCTTGCCTACTCCACAAAACGGGAATTCCACAGATTAAGTTAGGAATTCACTGTATGCTTCTTTAAGTCTGTTTAAGGACCGAGCTGGCTTATATTAGAGAGTCAGTATTTTTTGGCCAGTCAGGGCAAGAGATCTTGAGTTAATATCTGTTTATTATTTGACTTATGCTGGTTATCAACTTTTTACTCTTAGCTTTCGGTGAACTAGCTCTTTATGGTATTTTATGTTAAATTGTTCTCTCTTAATGAACATCTAGACTGTTTCCACTTTGATCCTTAAAGAGTTTGGATCAAAATGGAGCTGATGTGGTTCAGGAGATTTGTGGAAAAGACTCTGAGTGTCTTTTGTTTTACAGGCTTCTTTCATCTCATAATGTTTTACCCCAATCACATATCCACACAAGTGGGTCTCTGGATATTTCTCGAAAATGGGAAAAGAAGAATAAAATTGTTTATCCTCCACAGTTGCCTGGAGAACCTCGGAGACCAGCAGTAAGTTTGTGGGTAGAAATAATCTCTTGGGTTGCCTGGGTGGCTCAGTCATTTGGGCATCCAGCTCTTGGTTTCAGCTCAGGTTAATCTCATGGTTGTGGGATTGAGCCCTGCATTGGGCTTCCAGCGTGGTGCAGAGTCTGCTTCAGAGTCTTTCTCCCTTTCCCTCTACCTTCTCCTCCTCGAGCGCATGCCCTCTCTCTCTAAAAGAAATGAAATCTTTTTTTTTTTTTTTAAAGAAATTATCTCTTAGAGCACTTACTCTTATGTGGCTAGCATTGATTTATTGTTCTACGTGAAGAAAGGGAAAAAAATATACCACAATTTGTGTGATCATTAGATTGATGCAGAGGACGTTCTAGATTTATCTTCTTGGTAGTTTTAAAAGATTGTCTGTGTTTTACTTGTTTGCCTTGACTTAACCTTCTGTTTGGGGGCCTTAACTCTCTAACTAAGCTAATAGCTTGAGACATACTGACAGATTTTGACCCTTAAGAGGCTTGCTAATGCATTATTGGTAGTAAACCATGAGGAGCTGGCAAAGATGACTTAAACCCTTGACCATGTTTAAAATCGTATGTTTGGTTTTCCAAAGTCTTAAATTTTAATATAGACACACTTAGTTGTGATTTTTTTGTCTAGTTTGAATTTAATCATTGGATTCCTTTCAGAGATACTGAGGGTTTTTTTTTTTTTTTTTTTAAGATTTTATTTATTTATTTGACAGATGGAAATCACAAGTAGGCAGAGAAGCAGGCAGAGAGAGAGGATGAAGCAGACTTCCTGCCGAGCAGAGAGCCCGATGTGGGGCTCGATCCCAGGATCCTGGGATCATGACCCGAGCCGAAGGCAGAGGCTTTAACTCACTGAGCCACCCAGGCGCCCCAGAGATACTGAGTTTTATCTCATTTTTAGCTGCTTGGAATTCTTGTACCCTCTCCAAACTGCTTGTGAGTGCTATAGTCTGAGATATAAGACTAATTTCTAGCTTAATGTGAATTTGCTGTAGAATACAAAGGTGTCTGTTAAAAAGCTTAAATAAGTAATGATAGCATAAACAAGATGGAAGCATTTGAATCCTTAAGAAAATAAATTGTGCTTCAAAATAGAATAATTAATTAATAACTTATTAATACATTCAGTGGTGTTAATTATAAATCATTCAGTTCAGAAAACATCTTTTAAAGGCCTTTGGGATTTAAGGCTGGTGTATAATCAGTATCATCTAAGTAATGTCATTTGCTTAGTTTTTATATGGATTTGACAGCTTGCCTTTCATTAGGATTCAATTGATAAGTATTGGTCTGAGTTAGTACAGTTTTATGTTTTCTTTTTTTTTCTTATTTAGGGGAGTTAATTTATTGATTTTTTTTTTTAAAGATTTTTATTTATTTATTTGAGAGAGACAGTGAGAGAGAGCATGAGCGAGGAGAAGGTCAGAGAGAGAAGCAGACTCCTGCGGAGCCGGGAGCCCGATGCGGGACTCGATCCCGGGACTCCAGGATCATGACCTGAGCCGAAGGCAGTCGTCCAACCAACTGAGCCACCCAGGCATCCCTTAATTTATTGATTTAAAGAGCTCCCCCCCCCTCATTGGGGGAATAGAGATGCTTATAGTTTAAACAAATAACTTTCTAACTTTCATATTTTATTTTTCCATCAGAACTTAAAAATTAGATTTGTGACAGAGTGTGTGCTGTTAGGTATTGATTCCATTTTATAATTAAACAAAGTTTAGGAAAAGTTACATATTTCTACAAATATAAATAAAATATTTCCTATTATTATTTTTTAAAATTATTTTTATTTATTTATTTTTTGACACAGAGATAGAGAGTACAAGTAGGCAGAGCAGCAGGCAGAGGGAGAGGGAGAAGCAGGCTTTCCGCTGAGCAGGGAGCCCGATGCGGGGCTGGATCCCAGGACCCCGAGACCATGACCCAAGCGGAAGGCAGCCGCCCAACCGACTAAGCCACCCAGGCGCCCCATAAAAAATATTTCCTATTATTAATGAGCTTTCTTTACTTCTTGCTTGAGCTCTTTGAACTTAGATATTAATTGAGAAAGAATTCATAACAACATTTGTCAGGTCCAGAATCTAAAAGCAAAATTTTGTATTTATAATACTAACCTTTTTGAATATTAAACTAAATGTACTTCAGGATATATCTCTAGTGGCAAAATTCAGGTAGTTAACAGTAGATCACAGATTTTGTTTGTGTGAATAATCCTTTTGGGAACAAACTGACTTTTAGAAAATACCTTAACATTTTCTGACTTTATTTTTTTTTTATTTTTTATTTATTTATTTATTTTTTTTTAATAATTTTTTTTTAAAGATTTTATTTATTTGTCAGAGAGAGAGGGAGAGAGAGCGAGCACAGGCAGACAGAATGGCAGGCAGAGGCAGAGGGAGAAGCAGGCTCCCCGCCAAGCAAGGAGCCCGATGCGGGACTCGATCCCAGGACGCCGGGACCATGACCCGAGCCGAAGGCAGCTGCCCAACCAACTGAGCCACCCAGGCATCCCAACATTTTCTGACTTTAAATAGTGCTTGTTAAATTGACTTGGTGCATCATTTATACCTGTTATGATTGAAATATTAATGCCTTTCATTAAATACTAGCTTAATAATGGAGTAGTTTGCACACCTAGCCACATGGTTATTATACTGTCATTATGTGCAGTGTGACCTTGACAGCCTGCTAACTGCAAACATTTTAAAAATTAGTTTTATCTCAAAAAAAAAAAATTAGTTTTATCTCTAATTTAGAAGGGGGTCAGACAGGGGCGCCTGGGTGGCTCAGTGGTTAAATGTCCAGCTCTTGGTTTCGGCTCAGTTCATGACCTCAGGGATGTGAGATTGAGCCCAGAAGTAGGCTTTGCCCTCTGAGAGGGTCTGCTTAAGATTCTCTCTCCCCCTCTGCTCCTCTTCATGATTCGTGCTCTCTATCTCATGAATAAATAAAACCTTAGAAGAAAAATCAGGAGGAGTCAGGTAATATTTACCATTCTAACTCATTCTGATCTTTAGCATTGAAATATACAGTTAAAGTGGAGTGGATCAGGGGTGCCTGGGTGGCTTAGTTGGTTAAGCATCTGCCTTTGGCTCAGGTCCTGACCCCAGGGTCCTGGAATTGAGCCCCGCATCAGGGTCCCTGTTTGTCGGGGACCTGCTTCTCCCTTTCCCTTTGTCCCTCCTTGCTTATGTTCTTTCTCTCGTTTCTCTCTCAAGTAAATAAATAAAATCTTTAAAAAAGAAGAACAGTGGATCAGTCCTGAGTAAATCTATAGCAGTAAGTTAAAATGAATGTCACCAATTTAGGCATGTTTTAGGCCATTCCTGTTATCTTTAAGATTATTTTCCCAACTTAGCTAGCCCCAATTTCCAAACAATGTAGAATCCCATGTAGACTTTTATCTTACCTGCGGCTTCATCATGGTGAAGAAAATGAACCAGAGAGAAATTAAATGGCTTTATTCATAATAGTCAGCCTTTGTTAGTTTGGGCTTGGGTTTACTTTTGCAATATCTATGAAGAAAGCTATGTTAAATAAACTAAAAATATAGTGAGCCTATATCAAAACTGTTTGAACAACTCTTTCAGTAGGAGGCATGTTTTTAATTTATGGATTGACATACTGATAGTAAGTCATACTTATAAGTCATGTGAATCCCATAAGGCCCTAGTTTGGGTTCTTACCAGGTGACACTTTTTTCCCCCAAAGATTTTATTTATTTATTTATTTATTTATTTGATAGCCAGAGATCACAAGTAGGCAGAGAGGCAGGCAGAGAGAGAGGGGGTGTGGGGCTCCATCCCAGGACCCTGAGATCATGACCTGAACTGAGGGCAGAGCCTTTAACCCACTGAGCCACCCAGGCACCCCTAGGTGACACTTTTTTTTTTGAGAGAGAGTGTGGGAGTGTGGAGGGTGGGGTGGGGGAGGGGGCAGAGAGAGGAGAGAGAATCTCAAGCAGGCTCCACGCCCAACACAGAGCCCCATATGAGGCTCAGTCTCATGACACTGAGATAGTGACCTGAGCTGAAATCACAAATTGGACACTTAACTGACTGAGCCACCCAGGCGCCCCATTAGGTGACACTTTTTTTTAATCATTGGAGTTATTATATGCTTTTTAAAATTAGTTTCTTTAAAAGTTACTGGTTTAGACATTTCATAATTTAGACTTAATTTTACTTCATTTGAATTACTACCTTGCATATTGTATCCTAAGTTTATCTAATTTATTGTATAAGTTGGTTAATAGTGACATTTAACTGGACTTCCTGACCTCCAGCTCTGCCACGTTATTGATTTGCTATGATAGGTTTGTCTGGTTTATCTTTAGAAAATGCCTTTAGACATTGCACCTGCCTAAAGGAAATGTTGAGCTTTTTTGTTTTAAAAGAATATGATTGGATAACTTTCTTCTTTTCGGGTAAATACTTGATTCCTTTTTCCCCCATGCTCCTGCCAGGAGTATAATATCTTTTTTACAGAATTTGAAGATAATCATATACAGTTCATGTTTGGAGGTAGCCCATCTTGGGAAACCAAGAATTGAAGGGTTTCTATATAAAAGATTTTATTGTGTATATTAATTTTTGCAGGTGAATATTATCAGTCATGACAGTTCTTCTTTCTTCTCCAGTGCTCCCTTGGACACTTTATTGCTGAAAATGTAATTGGGCTGTTGCTACAGTTTTCAGCCTGTCAGCTTCTGTTGCAACTGAAATGAAATCTGCTACATATTAAAAGATGGCCACTTGAGAAACTGCTGTTTCTAAGGCATTTGAAAATTTCCAGCAGGAGTCAGAATGTTAGAAAGTTCTGAGGTCTCCTTGCTATTGTTTGCCATGACAAATGTTTTCTAATTGTTTTAAAGAGGCAATATGGTGTAGTGGAAGGAATGTGGATTTTATAGTCCTAGGGAAACTTTAAGGATACACTTGTCAGACATTGTGTTAGAGACTTCATATACTTCCTGTATGGCACTTTGACTTGCAGCTTTGTCTCTCACAAACTTTGCGGTCTTAGATAAGTCATTTGATTTTTCTGATTTTTTTATTTCTTGTTTTTACTTTGTGAAAGGATTATTATTATTTTTAATTTAAATCCAATTAGCCAACATATAGTACATCATTAGTTCTTGATATGATGTTCAATGATTTTTTTTAAACGATGTATTTATTTATTTGAGAGAGGGTAGGAGAGTGAGCGACCAGAGGAGGGAGGAAGAACAGGGAGAGAGAGAATCTCAAGCAGACTTTGCACTGAGTGTGGAGCCGAGCATGGGGCTCCATCCCACGACCCTTGAGATCGTGACCTGAGCTGAAACCAAGAGTCTGATGCTTGAGCCACCCAGGTGACCCTGTGAAAGGATCATAAAGTGTTTTCTCTCCCAACTCTAGAGTTAGATCAAATGAAATAAATGGGCTTGAAAAGTACTCTGTTAACTGTAAATTGTATAATCGATGATTGATTAAAAAAATGAAATGGGATATACTTACTACTCTAAATAGAAGATAATAAAAACTGGCATTTACTAGGATCTTACCGGGTACTAGGCACTGCAAAATGCTTTCTTTGCATAGATTATTTTCTTTAATTCTCAGTATATTTTTATGAGGTTGGTACTATTATCTTCATTTCAAGGAAGAGGAAACTTAGGCAGAGAGGTTAAAGAGCTTGGGTTCTGTAGCCAGTAGATGAGAAAATTAGAATTTAGACCCAGGCTGTCTGATTCTAGGACCTGTGCTCTTCACCAAATACCTCAGTGTCCTGTGAAACCAGCTATTTTGTCCATTTCACCATATTCTCTTATTTTCCCCACTGATAGGAAACTTTTTCTCTTATACCTTTTCTTTTGTTCTTTTATCTAGCTTAATGTTTTCGTTTAGATCTTTTATTATTCCTCTGGATAGAAATGTTGCAAATATTGGCACAAAGTAGCCATTTTGTGGCTTCTATCACTGCCTTAATGATCTTTTTAACATAGTGAGACTTGGGAAAAATACAACTTAGAGTCTTTATTTCTTGTGGCAGCATTTTCATTAGGCATAAAAAGTTAAAGATTTATTAACAGTGTATGTTACTGTTATTTTGATAAATTTGCTAACTTTTCTTTTTTTTCTTCTCCCTATTCGCAAGGAAATCTACCATTGTCGAAGGCAAATAAAATACAGCAAAGATAAGATGTGGTATTTGGCAAAATTGGTAAGCCAAAATGACATTACCATATAATACTTAAGAAAAGGAGCTATGAATTCTCCCCCAGGATTTAAAAAACTGAAAAAATTTGTCCTGATTTCTCCAAAAAGTGAGGAATATAATTACATGTTTAGACAGTTGGTAGGTAATCCACAAATGATTGCTCAGAGATGAATGATTTTGCTTAATTTTTACCTTTCTTCTGAGAAACCAAATCACGTTGGATACATAGATATTTAGCCCAAAAGCATCAGGAATCTGTAAGCTAAGAGAATCTAGGAAGCAAACTCATTTATCTTAAAAGTTGATTCAACCTATTTCAAAACCATTGCTTTTTAAGATTTTTCCTGGGAGGATAAAATTAATCTGTGAGAGAAGACGAAGCCCCAGATAAATAAAATACACTTATCCCGTAGAAGAAGATGACTTTCACACCTAATGTGGTGCTCACCACGCTGTGATTTCTGTTATGTCTGCTCTCTCAATATTACTAAAACATTTATAATGGAGGTGTTTTGGTTAAAATATTTAAGTTTGATTTTTGACTTAAAGAGGGTGGCATCCCTTCTCAAACTTGTTTTCTTCTTCTCTGCCTACATTTTGTTAGCTATTTTTGTTTTAATTTTTAAAATCGTGCCCCCTCCACTTTTATTGAGCTATAATTGACATATAACTAGTTAACTATTCTTAGAAGTTGTTTGTATTATGTAAGGCTTTTCTTCTCATTGCAAAGGGAGATTTGATTTTGTAAACTAATTCATCTTTTCTTGTCTGTTACCCTTTAATTCTAGATACGAGGAATGTCCATTGACCAGGCTTTGGCTCAACTAGAATTCAGTGACAAAAAGGGGGCCCAAATAATTAAAGAGGTAAATTAAGATATGTGGGGAAGGAGTGCATAGCTGTCTTGCCTGTGTTAGTAAGCTTAGCCTAAATCCTGAATTCCTTGGTGTAAATGCATAGTTCATATAATACAGATTCAGGGCACTCAGTTTTATTAGTGTCCTTGTACCTTAGGAATGTTGTACCTTAAATACATTTTTTTTTCTGGATATGCTTTTATTTGCACCAGACATTTATTCATTTTTTACTGTATCTGTATGATAAATCTTTGTTTTAGTGATTTGGGACTTGATAGATTTTTTTAGAAGATTGATTTTTTGTTTGTTTGTTTTGGCCAGTTCCGTAACTGAGAGCTTATGATTTTATATGTAATTGGATGGAAAGAGCACTTTTTGGGACTCTGGAGACCTAGTCTTGTCTTTTCTGTGACAGTTTGTAATGTGATGATGGGCAAAGCATTTAACCTGTCTGGTTCTGTTTTTCTTATTTGTAAACTGGGTGGAATTGGATTAAAAGATTTCTGAAGACTCTTCCACCTCTGAATGTGGCTGAATGTAGCTGAATCAGTTTGTGCAAATGTGCTAATGGCATTTGTGCTGACTCATTTTAGACACATGGCATTTGTTGGTTTGTTTTTTTGTTTTTGTTGAGGTTTATCAGTCATGTTGATTTTTTCCAACAACCAGTTACTGGTTTCTTTGATCTGTTCTATTATTTTTTTAGTTTATGTATCATTTGTTTCTGCTCTAATTTCTATTATCCCCTTCCTTCTGTTGGCTTTAGTCATTGTTTGTTCTTTTTCTAACTCCTTTAGGTATAAGGTTAAGTTGTTTATTTGGGATTTTTCTTGCTTCTTGAGGTAGGCCTATATTGCTATATACTTTTCCCTGAAGACTGCTTTTGCTGCATCCCAAAGTTTTTGGACTGTTGTGTGTTCATTTTCATTTCTCTCCCTGTGTTTTTTAAATTTCTTCTTTGATTTCCTGATTGACCCATTCATTATTTAGTAGCATGTTGTTTAACCTCCACGTATTTTTGGTCTTTCCAAATCTTTTCTTGTGGTTGACCTCTAGTTTCATAATGTTATAGTCTTTAGAAAAGGTGCATGGTATGATTTCAGTCTTTTTACATTTGTTGAGACCTGTTTTGTGACCTCATATATGATCTATTCTGGAGAATTTTCCATGTGCACTTGGAAAGAATGTATATTTTGCTGCTTTAAGATGGAGTGTTTGGAATATACCTGTGAAGTCCCTCTATTCTAGTGTGTCATCCAGAACTGTTTTTCCTTGCTGATTTTCTATTTAAATGATCTATCCATTGGTGTAAGAGGGCTGTTAAAGTCTCCTAGTATTATTGTATTATTATCCATTGGTTCCTTTATGTTTGTTATTAATTGTTTTATGTGTTTGGGTGCTCCCCATAAATATTTACATATATTTACAGAAATATATGTAAATATTTACAATTGTCCATGAATATTTACAATTGTTATATCTTCTTGTTGGATGGATTATGATTATATAATGCCTTTGTTTGTCTCTTTTTATAGTCTTTGTTTTAAAGTCCAGTTTGTCCAATAGAAGAATTGCTACTCTGGCTTTCTTTTGAAATTCATTTGTGTGATAAATGTTTCTCCACCCCTCATTTTCTTTTTCTTTTTTTTAAAAGATTTTACTTATTTGACAGAAGAGAGATCACAAGTACGAAGAGAGGCAGGCAGAGAGAGGTGGGGAAGCAGGCTCCCCACTGAGCAGAGAGCCTGATGGAGGGCTCGATCCCAGGACCCTGAGATCATAACCTGAGCCGAAGGCAGAGGCTTAACCCACAGAGCCACCCAGGTGCCCCCACCCTTCACTTTCAACTGCAGATGTTTTTAGGACTAAAATGGGTCTCTTGTAGGCAGCATAGAAATAGGATTTTTTTTAATCCATTTGGACCCCTGTCTTTGATTGGAGCTTTTAGTCCATTTACATTCAAAGTAATAATTTATTCTTTTAAAGTAATTATTGATAGATGTATATTTATTGCTATTTTATTACTTGTTTTGTTGTTGTTTCTGGAGATTTTCTCTGATCCTTTCTTGTCTTTGTTACTTCTGATCTTTCCTTTGCACTCAAAGAGTCCCCTTTACAATTTTTTGCAGGGCTGGTTTAGTGGTCACGAACTCCTTTAGTTTTTGTTTGTCTGGGAACCTATCTTTCCTATTTTGAATGATGCCCTTACTGGATAGGGTATTCTTTTTTTTTTTTTTTTTTTTTCTTTAAAGATTTTATTTATTTATTTGACAGAGAGAGATCACAAGCAGGCAGAGAGGCAGGTAGAGAGAGAGGAGGAAGCAGGCTCCCTGCTGAGCAGAGAGCCCGATGCGGGGCTCGATCCCAGGACCCTGAGATCATGACCTGAGCCGAAGGCAGCGGCTTAACCCACTGAGCCACCCAGGCGCCCCTGGATAGGGTATTCTTGGCTAAAGATTTTTCTTATGCAGCACATTGAATATATCATGTCATTCTCTTCTGGCTTGCTAAGTTTCTGTTGAGATCTCCAGCTAACCTTATGGGTTTTCCCATGTAGGTTAAGGGCTTCTTTTGTCTTGCTGCTTTTGACATTTTTTTCTTTATCACTATATTTTGTGAATTAAATTATAATAAGTGTTGGTGTTGGCCACCTTTTGTTGATTTTCATGGGAGTTCTCTGTGTCTCCTGGATCTGGATGTCTGTTTCCTTCTCCAGATAAAGGAGGTTTTCTGCTGTCATTTCTTGAAGTAAATTTTCTTCCCCCTCTTTTTTCTTTTCTCTTGGGACTTCTACAATGTGAATGTTACTATGTTCGATGAAGTTACCGAGTTCCCTAAGTTTGTTCTCATGTCCCGTAATTATTCTTTTTTTTCTTTTGTTCAGGTTCATTATTTTCCATTGTTTTGTCTTCTAGGTCACTAATTCATTTCTCTGATTTTTCCAGCCTGCTGTTCATTGCATCAAGCCTGTTTCCAATCTCCTTTATTGCATTCTTCATCTCTGATTTTTTTTTTTTTTTTAACTCTTATCTCTGTGCTACAGGTCTCATTGATGTCTTCCATTCTTTTCTCAAGTGCAGTGAGTGTCCTTATGATCATTGCTTTAAATTCTTTGTCAGGCATGTTACTTATATCTGTTTTGCTTAGATCTCTGGCTGTGGCCTTATCTATTATCTAGTTCTTTCATTTGGAATAAATTCCTCCATCTTGAATTCTGTTTAATTCTCTGGTTTCTTATGTGTTAGAAAAGCTAGTTATGTCTCCTGTTCCTGAAAGTAATGACTTTATGAAGAAGAGATGAAGTAGTGCCCATGGCCTGGTGCTTCAGGGAGTGTCTTTGGTTTGTGCTTTGTGCCTTCTTCTGTTGTGCTCTGGCTGTTCTATCCTTTGGGTCATCTGCAGAGGTTCTCCTTGCCTGTTGTGGGCAGTGTTTGGTCCCTTGCCTGAATGTGGCAAGTTTTAACTAGATGTGCTCTGGTCTGCTTGTGAAATGAGACGTGTCACCATCTCCACTGGAACTAAGTCCCTGCAAAACAGGGAGACATGATGTAGACAGGGGTTTGTACTGGTCTTCTGGGGGAGGGGCTTGCCCCACTGGGTCTGAGGCAAGCTTCACTGAGAGGGGCAGTCCCACCAGATCACAGGGGGTTGAGTCTTGGTGGAGGCAAATTAGGCAGTCATTGTTGGTGCTTAGTGCTTCCCTGAGGTGGTTCTGATTTTATCCTGAGGGTTGGGGAGGGAAAATGACAGATTTTTTGTTTGTTCCTTTGTTCACAGATTTTTCTGTGAATGCTGCCTCTCAGGGAAGTGCTCTGAGAAAAGTGAATAATCTCCCCACTGTGTGCCCTGGGTGCTCTTCAGATCACTATTTCCATGATGTCTTCCCCTGGGTTGTTTACCTGCCTTCTCTCCAGGGGTGGTACAGTACCCTCTGGGGTCTATTCCCAGCCAACCCTGATGACCATTAAAAGTACAGGCATTAAGCCCCACTGTTTGTAAGAACTCACAAAATTTAGCTCCTCTTGTTTTCCAAGCCAGTGGCTGTGGGGAAACATTCTTGTGCATTCCCATGTACTCTTCTCTCACTCTTATTTGCAACAATGGCTCCCTCTCCTCTGCAGCACCTGTAATCCATTTCTCCCCTAAACCATGTCCCTGCACTTCCTACGTTCCTCAATGTGGATACATGGTGTTTTTATTTCAAAATGCTGGGTTGAGGACATCTGGGGATATCAGCAGTATTTTCTCCATATCAGTTAGTTCTCACTTAAAATGAGATCTTTTTAGTTTAGTAGTTCAGCAGTTGAGATCGATTGGTTCAGACTTCAAGAGGTTCCGTTGTAATGCCTATATTTAATTTAGTTCAGAAAGCAATGACTAAGTATTTTTTTGTGTGTGTGTACTCAGCTTTGTATTGTATTCTTTATCTTTAAATGAGTGAAAGATCTAGGTTTTGATTTTTTTTAAAGATTTATGTATTTATTTATTTGAGAGAGAGAGAGAGAGAGAGAAATAGAGCGCTTGCGTACATGAGTGAGCAAGGGGAGTGGCAGAGGGAGAAAGAATCCCAAGCAGACTCTGCTGAGCACGGAGTCTACAGAGGGCTCGATCTCACGACCCTGAGATCATGACCTAAGCTGAAATCAAGAGTTGTTGCCTAACCACCTAAGCCACCCAGGCACCCCATGGTTTCTGTTATTTTTAAAAATGTGTTCTGGATGGGGTACCTGGGTGGCTCAGTGGGTTAAGCCTCTGCCTTCGGCTCAGGTCATGATCTCAGGGTCCTAGGATGGAGCCCCGCATCTGGCTCTGCTCAGCAGAGAGCTTGCTTCCCCCTCTCTCTCTGCCTGCCTCTCTGCCTACTTGTGATTTCTCTGTCAAATAAATAAAATCTTCAAAAAAAAAAAATGTGTTCTGGAGCAGGTTAACTTAATTAAAAATATCTAGATGTAAATTTAATAATTCTTAAAATTTTCAAGTATGATTTTCTCTACTTGTTTGATGTTTAATGATTATTTTGGATCCAAAGTTTAAGAATTTTCCATATGATTTAGCTCTTAAGCTTCTTGAACTTTTTGACAATCTCTGACTCAGAGGCATAATGCTTATCACCAACAGTACTGCTACCAGTGCTGCTGTTTCCTCCTTTCCAGCTCATACATTCCATTGTACACTTAGCAGGATGTACACTTAGCAGTGTTGCCTGCATTTGCATTTCTTGTCTGAAGAAGGAAAACTCAGTGTATCCCTTCTCCTTAGTACTGTTATCATTTAATATTCTTTTTTTTAAATTGGCTATAAAACAGAGGCATGTGATTAGCGGACATATTATAGAGATAACAGTAAGAAATGAGAAATTTAATTCCACTTTAGTTCAGGGTCAGCTATATCAATGCCTGTCTTTTCTTTGTTTAAGGTTCTCTTAGAAGCACAAGATATGGCAGTGAGAGACCACAATGTGGAATTCAGATCCAATTTATATATAGGTAAGATGTTTAATATTCTTAGCATTGGGAAATGTTTTCCAATAGTGATGCTGAGTTCATTATCTAACAATAGTCTTTGATACCTAACTACTTAGGACTGGGTTTGCCAGTGAAAATTGCTGTTAATAGCTTATTCTTCTGCCTTCAGCATGCTAATGTTAGTCTGTTATAAATGGTAATAACCTAACTGCTTTATTGTTACCTGTCCTGTAATGTGAATGAGACCATGAAACCTATTGCCAATAATTACTTAATAATGGGTACCAAGATGATGGTACATGGAGGGGTCCTTTAATCATGATAAAATGAAGAAGGAACAGAACTGACTATTTATTTATTTATTTAAAAGATTTTTATTTATTTATTTGGGTGAGAGAGGGAGAGCAGAGAGAGAGAGCAGAAGGGGAGAGTAAGAGGGAGAAGCAGACTTCCCACTGAGCAGAGTCTGACCCGGGACTCCATCCCAGGACCCTGAGGTCACGACTTGAGCGGAAGGCAGACACTAAACGACTGAGCCACCCAGGCACCCCAGAGTGATGTTTTAAAAAATAAATTCTTTGTCAATCCTGAAGGAGGTAAATAAAGAGTCACAGGTGGATTTTAAGAGTATTTATTTATGATGGGCCAAGCCAGGTGCCTAATCCATAAAGGTGTCCCATAATTTAGCCTTCCAATCACCAGAATGGGAAATCTTTTGAATTGTAAAACCCAAGGCTCAGATGATCCAGATGTGTTTGGTTTCCTTTGTTACTACATTCTGAAGCATTATCTCAGGTTTTGTGTACTTGTTCCATATCAAATTAAATTAATGTAAGTGAAAATGCTTTGGGAAGCATGATGCACCATACAAATGTGAGGGATTTTTTTGTCACGTACCTTCGTACAGCTCTTTCTAGAAAGAGATGAACGCTTATTACAAAGCTTATTACAAAGCTCCCTTGCCCCCCTCTCAGCACCAGAGTAAAGTGAAGCGGTGGGTGGAGTTGCTGTTTTCCTCTCACTTCAGCAGCAATTACTCCTAACCTCAGCAATTTTGTAATCAAACAGTGATGTTGATGTTGAAGCAAAATTTTCGCAGTCTGCCAAACCTATGTGTAAGGAGAACTGAAGATATTTTAAATTGAAGATAGGGGTTACTGCTACTCTCCAAATAGAGGAAAAAAGGCTGAATCATTATGGGAGAAATTAGTTGTGCATTATGATTTTTTAACAATTAGGGTAAAAACAAATCATCTAATTTTCTACTTTGTTGCAATTCCACCTTACTGGAGATGTTTATTCTGGTGAAGTTAAAATCTTAACCTCAGCTCACCTGGAATTGATGCTGGCAACCACACCTACTTCTGAAATTCAAATGAGTTATGATTTTCAATTGAAATATCTTATTTTAAAGCTGACTGTTGTATAACTGATGATATTCTGATACATGAATAGATACAGAGAGAAATCAAAATGGCATCTCAGAAGATGCAGGGCCATAGTAGTTACTCATAAGCTTTTTCTTCTGAGAACAGCATGAATAAATAATGCAGGGAGGGCCCAGAATCACTGGAAGAGATGAAATGGATGAAGAGCAAGACCATTTGCTTAAAACCTCTTGGTGACCTTTCTTGCTTTATGACTGCATATCAAATCCGACTTAATTACTTTTATTCATTTCCATAGGAATATGGTCTTCTTAGCTGACAGACAAACTTTGTAATGGAACTCAGATACACATGAAATAGAATTTGTCTTTAAATCCTTTTCAGGGGACGCCTGGGTGGCTCAGTTGGTTGGACGACTGCCTTCGGCTCAGGTCATGATCCCGGGATCCTGGGATCGAGTCCCACATCGGGCTCCCAGCTCCATGGGGAGTCTGCTTCTCCCTCTGACCTTCTCCTCCCTCATGCTCTCTCTCACTGTCTCGCTCTCAAATAAATAAATAAATAAAATCTTTAAAAAAAAAAAAAATCCTTTTCAGTAATTTTAGTAAAGTGAGAAAAGGTGAGGAGCTTAATCTTGTCTTCCCAAATGGAGCAAAGTCCACAAAAGTAAACTTAACCATTCCTACATGAATGGGCATTTAATTCATCCGTCTCCTTATGCACATTTCTACTGAAGAATCTCTACTGTACCTGTGCCCTTTTTTCATCTAATTTTGTGTAAAAATCTCTTCTCGAGTAGGGCTGATAAATTTTGATTTGTCTTACGATTGTAAAAACTCATTTGCTAAGTATTTTGATGCCTAATTCTTTTATGAAGGTAAAAGAGAGGAGTGCCCTTAGGAAGATGAAGTATCTTACTGTGACGTGTCAGACATTTTATCTTTGGTTTTGTCAAACTTTCCTCATAAGAATCATGTGAGGTTCTTAGTAAAAAAAAAATAGAGATTCCCAGGACCCACCGCAGACCCACTGGATCTGAAACCTCAGGGGAGAGACTTGGAGAGCTATTTGTTGAATAAAAATCCCAGTGATTTGTACCTATAAAATACAAGAAAATGATTTTTCTCATCGTATTCTTGGAAAAGTCCTAGACATTTCATTCCATGGATAAATGTCTTTTAGAGTTTTGAAAGACTAGTCACTTGTTGGCTACGATTTCAGCTCAGCAGTGGCTCCTCAGTCTCTTGACATAAGTAAGTATAGGCATTTTAAGGGAAGTGCTTTTTTGGTAGTGTGTGTTCTTATTATATGGTAATTCCTTCAGATGCCTGTCATCAGTCTAAAGCTAATACCTGGTGTAGCATAACCACAGATTTTGAAAATTCATTTCCTTTTCAAACTTATAATGATGACTAATGGCACTGTGAACCGACCTTAACAAGTGGACATGGACTAATAAAATGTCACTGCTTAGTGATTCATAGCCTCTAAAGTGATTTACTTTAGGGAAAGTGATTGACTGACTTTGTAAATCAGTCTTCTGGGCGAAGAGTGATGAAGGGGGAAGAGGGTTTCCAATTTTAAAATGTCAAGATTCACATTTACCTAAATCCTAGTATATAGGAAATATTGACAGTATTTTAAATATTCTTGATACCTATGGGGCATCATCTTTAGGTGAGCATCATCTTGGGCATCATTTTTTTTTTTAAGATTTCATTTATTTATTTGAGAGAGATTGAGTGAGAAAGAGCACAAGCAGGGGGAGTGGGAGAGTGAGAAGCAGCCTCTCTGCTGAGCAGGGAGTTGGCATAATCTTTAGGCTGTTCCCATTTCTGAGGTGTCTTAATGTTTTTTCTCTGATTCAAAAAGATTTTGAGTACCTTCCACGTGCATACTGTCCATACAGTTAGGTGATGGTCTATCTTATTAAAGCAACTTAAGACATTTAGTTTATATAGTTTTGTTCTTTGAAATGCACACTGAGTGTTATTTGTTCTTTGACAGTAGTAGTCCTTTGGAAGGATCTATAAATTGTGTTTCTGAGTTGGAACAAGTGATACATGTCACTAGTACTGTGTGTACTTGGAAAACTTCGAAACTTTATTTTAGAATTTGAGCAAATTTATCAGATAGCTATACTGAAAACATATTAATTAGCAGAGGTTGTAATTTCAAAATCATTTCTATTCCTTGTTGCATATGAACTTTAGGGGAAATACAAAAGACATACAGAAGTTTGGTTGAAGAAGTGACTTTCACAGATTAGCCATGAACATTCAGATAAGGTAGCATATGGTTTGAGACCAAAAAGAGTAATATAGGTAAATAGTGGGAGTAGAGAAGAGGAGGTCAGTGTCGGTTAGAAAAGTGATGGTAATTTTCTAGAAGAGTTTAGCTTTGGAAGATAAGTGTTTGGGCATCTGAAAGAGAAAGATGTTCAGAGTGGAGTAAGCACAGGAGCTAAGGCACATAGGTTGGAATGAGCCGTGATTGTGTGGTCCAGTGAGTAGAATAGTTGAAGGAGGCGGAGGGTTGACCTTGAGTAGATAAAACTGAAAGGTGGATTGGGCCTAGATCCAGAGGGCTGAGCATGGCAGGCTGTGGAATTTGGTTCACATGATAGTGAAGAGGATGCACAGAAAGTTTTGGGGTAGGAGATTTATGTTACTAAGGAAGTGTTTTAAGACTATTAACTCTAAAGCAGTGGTTTCTTTTTTTCTTTCTTTCTCCTTTTTTTTTTTAAAGATTTTATTTATTTATTAGAGAGACAGTGAGAGAGAGCATGAGCGAGAAGGTCAGAGGGAGAAGCAGACTCCCCATGGAGCTGGGAGCCCGATGCGGGACTCGATCCCGGGACTCCGGGATCATGACCTGAGCCGAAGGCAGTCGTCCAACCAACTGAGCCACCCAGGTGTCCCTAAAGCAGTGGTTTTTAAATTGTGCTGTGGGCAAGGGTGCAGCCCAGGGTGGAGCCTGGCACCCGGCAGGAACTTAGAAATATTTGGTGAGTGAACGAATGGCACAGTTTTGGATCTCTCCCTACTCATGTTTCGGTTAGAACAGAGCCGCAGCACGGTGGGCTTCTATTTATTGTTTCATTTTCATTGAAATGGTTCTATATAAATGCATTTAAACTCCTCACATACAGAATTAGTAAAAGGAGGGTAGACCAGAAACCAATTTGCAATCTATACTCCTAAGTCCTGATTTCATTCTGACCTCATGGTGGCTGTGTTGCATATTACCATTACAGTGTATTAAAGAATCCTGGTGGTTCAGAAGAATTGATGCTTTTGTTCTGGCATAAGAAAATGTGGCATTATGTGCTCCAAGATAAGCACATGGTATTTTATGGCTTTAGGATGAAATCATGACTGGCAATTAGCAGTTATTGATGATTGCTCTTACGTATTTGGGGGAGATGGAAAATGGTGGTTAACACAGACCCTGGTAGGCCGATCATTGTGCTTGGATAGGTTATGTAGTACTGCATAGTTAGCTAATTCAGATACTGTTTTCACTGGAGTAGTGTTCCTTTTCCTCAGGCTATTTGGAAATGGGGCTCAAATTGAGTAGAGTTGCAGTTTTGGATAGAAGCAGCCATTGTGTTTGTAAAATGCCTTTTAGAGGATTTCTACACTTTTTCTAGTGTCATTGTGCTTATTTGTGGGTTTCCTCCTGACAGGTGGGTCCAGAGGAACTAATGGTACTTCATTCTAAAGTGATTTGTGTAATTTGGCTTTTTCTTTGGTAATTCCTCAAACACATTTCTTTAGTGCCCAGTGATGAAGTTGGTGTAAGGACAGTAGCTCTTTCCTTATCTCACAGAGGCCCTAGGCAATTTTCTTAACCACTCTCATCCTTAGTTTTCTCTCTGGCCAAGCTAGGATGGTTCTGCCGAATCCCATTTCATGAGAGGACTGTAGTTAGAGGGTTATCAAGCGTATACTTTGACACCGTCCCTGTATTTATAAAGTTATTTCACAGTAAGAATATAAGAATGGTGAGTATTGAAGTGGATTAATTTGATATGTCTTCTATAGGTTTTGGCTTTTTAAAAGGCTTTATTAACTCAAGGAGTTACTGACTGAATAAATTCAGAAAATAGCAGAAGGTGGATATTCCTCTGATTCACTGTGGGTGAAAACTGGTGAACAGATTTCTTCTTAACTAGTATTTGAAAATTTTTTTTTAATTTTACAGGGTCAGACATTGATGCGCAGAATTGGGGAGGGGAGATGAGGGAGCAGTTGTGATGTGGGAGTTCCTAAAACTGGCCATAAATCAGAGATACTAGGGGAAGAGGATTGGTGTTTGTTCAAATGTAATTTCCAAGGTGTACCCCAAATACAGTAAATTAGAATCCTCAGAGATGGGGTCTCAGCAGCTGCATTTAAAATATGTTTCATAGGTTAGTCTGATGTAGCCAGAGGACCAGCATTTGGGAACTTTTGGTTCCAGGGGCCTTCTCACCATAGTTGGAATGAAATAAAAACTCCTTACCTCAGCCTTTAGGGATCTTGGTAACCTTGTCTTCACCACGGATTTCTTTCCCCTGTTCGTACCACTCTTTGCCTTGTTTACTGTGCTTCAGCAGGCTGGTATTTTTTCTGTTTCTAAAACAAGTCAGCACACCAGTTAGAATGGCTAAAATTAACAAGTCCGGAAACGACAGATGTTGGCAAGGATGCAGAGAAAGGGGAACCCTCTTACACTGCTGGTGGGAATGCAAACTGGTACAGCCACTCTGGAAAACAGTATGGAGAAGTTTGTCAAAAAGCTAAAAATAGGGGCAGCTGGGTGGCTCAGTGGATTAAAGCCTCTGCCTTCAGCTCAGGTCATGATCCCAGGGTCCTGGGATTGAGCCCCACATCGGGCTCTCTGCTCAATGGCGAGCCTGCTTCCCCCCCTCACTCTGCCTGCCTCTCTGCCTACTTGTGATCTCTCTCTGTCAAATAAATAAATAAAATCTTTAAAAAAAAAAAAAAAAGCTAAAAATAGAGCTACTCTAGACCCAGCAGTTGCACTACCATGTATTTATCCAGAGAATACAAAGATAGGGATTTGAAGGGGCACCTGCACCCCAGTGTTACAGCAGCAGTGTTGACAATAGTCAAACTATGGAAATATCCCAGATGTCCATCAACAAATGAATGGATAAAGAAAAAAAAATATACATATATACAATGGCATTTTTATTCAGCTATCAAAAATGAAATCTTACCATTTGCAATGACATGGATGGAACTAGAGGGTATTGTGCTAAGCAAAATGAGTCAGAGAAAGACAAGTATCACATGATTTCATTCTTATGTGGAATTTAAGAAACAAAACAGGAACATAGAGGAAGGAAAGGAAGAATAAGATGAAAACAGAGAGGGAGACAGCCACGAGAGACTCTTAACTATAGGGAACAAACTGAGGGTTGCCAGAGGGGAGGTGGGTGGAGGGATGGGGTAATGGGGAGATGGGCATTAAGGAGCGCACGTGATGTAATGCACACTGAGTGTTATACGCAAATGATGAATCACTGAATTCTGCCTCTAAAACTAATAATACACTATATGTTAATTAAATCAAATTTAAATAAAAAATAAAACAAGCCAAGCACATTAGATGTTAGATATTAAATAAAAAATAAAACAAGTCCACCATTGCGTCTTTGCATTTGCTTTTCCCTCTACCTGGAATACCATGCCCATAGATATTTGCATGGATTTTGGTCTTAGTTAGATTGAATGTCTCTTCCTCAGAGATGCTTCCTTTTTTTTTTTTTTTTTTTTTTTTTTTTTTTTTTTTTTTTTTTTTTTACAGAGGTCACAAGAAGGCAGGGAGGCAGGCGGTTGTGGGGGGGGGGTAAGCAGGCTCTCTGCTGAGCAGAGAGCCCGATGCGGGGCTCGATCCCAGGACCTTGAGACCATGACCTGAGGTGAAGGCAGAGGCTTAACCCACTGAGCCACCCAGGCGCCCCCTCAGAGATGCTTCTTGACACCCACTGGTCTGATGTTGCCTCCAGCACCCCATCAGTCTCTCTCACAACACTGTTTAAAGATTTTTTTTTTTTTTTAATTTATTTATGATGGAGAGAGAGCGAGAGAGGGAACACAAGCACAGGGGAGCTGGAGAGGGAGAAGCAGGCTCCCTGCTGAGCCCAATGGGGCTCAAGCCCAGGGCGCTGGGATCATGACCTGAGCTGAAGGCAGACACTTAAGTACCGAGCCACCTAAGTGCCCCTCCCACATCACTGTTTAATTCATTGTACTTGTCACTAACTGGAATGATCATGTTTATTTTCTTTCTCCTCTAGAATGTACACTGCGTGGAGGCAAGGCCCTGGCTAGTCTTGTTCACTCTTTTCTCTCCACACCTAGAATAGAGGCTGGTCCTTAATAAGCACTTCAGAGATACTTGTTTTGAGACCGATCTGCTCTCATCAGCCAGTGAACTCATGGAGTCTTAGAATCCGGTCGAGGAATGGACAGATATTGCTCAGGTGATGAGCTATAGTCTTGGGGATGCAGTCATTTCCTGTAACTCTCTCTGTCTTCCCTGTCTAGCTGAGTCGACGTCAGGGCGAGGCCAGTACCTGAAACGTATCCGATACCATGGCAGAGGTCGCTTCGGGATCATGGAGAAGGTTTTTTGCCATTATTTTGTGAAGTTGGTGGAAGGTCCCCCACCTCCACGTGAGGCACCGAAGACGGCAGTCACCCACGCCAAAGAGTATATTCAGGAGCTCCGCAACCGGACGATTATTCACACTCTGTGATGGGCTTTCAGACTCTGCAGTGTATCTATTTTGCCATTTATTTCTTATAAACCAGAAATTAAAGACAAATGCTTTTTATGGTTTGTACTGAGTTAGTGCAATATGAAGTATAATTGCTAATTTTATATGAATATTTATAAGGCTTTGCCCGTTCCTTTTGAACCTTTGGGTATATTTATGCATTTGCAACTTGGAAGGAGAAATCAGCTTTAAACAGTATAATTCAGAAGGCTTTTTTGAGTACCTTTGGAAGGGGATGTAAACTTGCCACCTGTAGGTGGCAGTTTAGATACTAGCCTTGAGTAGAATGTTGCAGAGTAAGAAAGCTTGTCCTTGTTTCCTTTGATTTTTTTCTTGAGATTGGGGAGGAGGTGGTGGAGGTGAGCATAGATACATGTATTTTAGGGTATTCTGTAGTTGCGTTTTTGCTTTCACTGTTGGCATAGGCCAATGGGTGAGGCATTCTATATTTTCACCTTGGAATTACAGAAGTTTATTAGATACATTAATCTAGAACTCCAAGAACCCTTTAACTGAGAAAGTTTTCTTCTAGTTAAATAAAGACTGTTTTCATGTCTCCTTCCAACAATGCTTTCTATTGCTTGGATATCTTGTTCTGGATTGATTTATTTTTCAGAGTGAATTCTATTACTGAGAGAATTGAACCAGTCTGAGGGTTGCATTCTAAAATAAGACAGTAGGTGGCACTCACTTACCTCTTATTAACAAAATTGTTAGTATTAGAGTGAGTGTTCCCCGCTTGCTGGCTCTCATTGATAAAGAGTGTTTTCACTGACAAGAAGCGTTTGGTCCACAGCCCTAGTCCAGGGTTACTCAAACTTTGGTATACAGAGGAAGAACCTGGGGTACTTTGCTTGTTAATACAGACTTCTGGGTCTCGCCCCCATGATTCTGATTCACCACGTCTTGTGAGGGGTGCGTATCAGAAGTCTGTATTTTAAAAACAATGAGGACTTGATGGTTCTGTTTATAGGGAACCACACTTGAGAATACTCCTCTAGTCTGAAGAATGTGGTTGTAGGGCCATGTTTTAAGATGGCATTAATGATAGCTACTGTTTACTGGAACCTCATTATTTACCAAGCTCTGTGCTAGTATTTTACATTAAGTCTTCACAATATCCTGCAAACCATAGGTGTTATTTTGTTGCTTTATAAAGGAAGAAACTAAAGCACGTAGAATTCAAATAACTATCTCAGTGTCACACAGTGTGTAAAAATATCAGAGCGATGATTGATTTAGAAACTAGGTTTCTAAAGTACCTGTTTCTGTATAACTAATGAATGTATAGGTGGGTGGTTTTGCCTATCTAGTTAACGAAATGCATGGGTGAAAAGACAGAGGGCTCAGTGGAATAAGACACCAAGGCTTAGGACAGATTCATTCTGGGTCATAAGTTATTGGGGCATGGATTCATGGAAATGACACTGGACTGGTAAAAGGCTACCTTCGTTCTAGTCCTGGCATACTCACTAACCAGAAAGAAGACTCTGGGCAGGTCTCTTCCCTCCCTGACCTCTATTTTATTCATCTATAAAACAAGAGGTTCCTTGTTTCTTGTAGATCACCTTCAGAATCACTTGAGCGGGTTAAAAAAATGCAAATTCCTAGGTGCTACTCTCATACTGAGTGAATATGAATCTTGAACTTTTAACAAGTGCCCCAGTGACACATACTGGAGAATCATTGGATCAGAGGCTCTCTGTGCTGTCTTTCAGGCAGATGTTCCATGATTCTTAGCCTGGGACTTCTGAATTCCTCAGGCATGACTAAAACAAACCAGGTGGTGATGTGGACTCCATAACTATTTTGAAAGGGTTAAGGGCAAAAGAAATGAAGGAAATTTGCTGTGACCTGAGCTGAAGTCTTCATTCATCTGGAAATGCTTTTGATGTGTTAAAAAGTGTAATAAGAGCTAACATACAGCACTATGTACTTAGCACTGTTGTAAGAACTTTATGTACATCCCCTCAATGAATCGTTCCCATTGCAACTGGTGCAGTGTACTTCTGGTTAGTTTCCATGGCCAAGACTGCATTTTCTGACATAAACGAACATTTTGGTTCTTAAAGTTTAACTTCATATGTTCAGAAACAATGTCTGTTAATTATTATTATTTTTTAAAGAAGCCTCCATGCCCAACTTGTGGCTTGAACTCATGACCCTGAGATCAAGAGTTGTATGTGCCACCCCCTGAGACAGCCAGGCACCCCTGTTAATTATTTTTAACGGCAATCTCTGAATGCTTGTAACTTCCTGCTTGATCAGATAATGATGGAGTGTAGCGCATTCAGAAAGTGCACTAATTACTGGTATATAGCTCAGTAAATGATCAACTGGTGAACGTGCTGAAGTAACCCAGTGGATAGAACATGATAGTAACTCTGAAGCCCCCTTCCTCCCTTTCCCAGTCACTACCCTCCTCCTTTCCCCCAAGGTAACCATTATCCTGACTTCTAACATATGATAGAGTTTTTAGTTTGTTTTCTTTTCATTTTTACTTAAAAAAAAATTTTTTTTATTAACGTATAATGTATTATTCGCTTCAAGGGTACAGGACTGTGAATCGTCAGTCTTAGACAATTCGCCACACTCACCATAACACATATCCTCCCCAATGTCCATAACCCAGCCACCCTATCACTCCTCCCCACCCCACCCCCAGCAACCCTCAGTTTGTTTCCTGAGATTAAGAGTCTCTTATGGTTTGTCTCCCTCCCGATCCCATCTTGTTTCATTTTTTCCCTCCCTACCCCTATAACTGGATCCCCGCCTTGCCTCTCAAATTCCTCATATCAGAGAGATCATATGATAATTATCTTTCTCTGATTGACTTATTTCTCTTACCATAATACCCCCTAGTTCCATCTATATTGTTGGAAATGGCAAGATTTCGGGTTTTTTTGAAGGCTGCATAGTATTCCGTTGTGTGTGTGTATACACATACCACATCTTTATCCATTCATCTCTTTTTTTTTTTAGGATTTTATTTATTTATTTATTTGACAGAGATCCCAAGTAGGCAGAGAGGCAGGCAGAGAGTGAGAGAAGAGGAAGCAGGCTCCCCACAGAGCAGAGAGCCCGACACAGGGCTCCATCCCAGGACCCTGGGACCACGACCCGAGCCGAAGGCAGAGGCTTTAACCCACTGAGCCACCCAGGTGCCCCTATCCATTCATCTCTTGATGGACATCTAGGTTCTTTCCATAGTTTGGCTCTCGTGGACATTGGTGCTATAAACATTTGGGTGCTTGTGCCCCCTTCGGATAACTACATTCGTATCTTCTGGGTAAATACCCAGTAGCGCGATTGCTGGGTCATAGAGTAGCTCTATTTTCAACTCTTTGAGGAAACTCCATACTGTTTTCCAGAGTGGCTGCACCAACAGTGTAAGAGGGTTCCCCTTTCTCTGCATCCTTGCCAGCATCTGTCATTTCCTGACTTGTTAATTTTAGCCATTCTGACTGGTGTGAGGTCATATCTCATGGTGGTTTTGATTTGTATTTCCCTGATGCCAAGTGATGTGGAGCACTTTTTCATGTGTCTCTTGGCCATCTGGATGTCTTCTTTGCAGAAATGTCTGTTCATGTCCTCTGCCCATTTCTTGATTGGATTATTTGTTCTTTGGGTGTTGAGTTTGATAAGTTCTTAATAGATTTTGGATACTAGCCTTTTATCTGATACATCATTTGCAAATATCCCATTCTGTTGGTTGTCTTTTGGTTTTGTTGACTGTTTCCTTTGCTGTGCAAAAGCGTTTGGTCTTGATGAAGTCCCAATAGTTCATTTTTGCCCTTGCTTCCCTTGCCTTTGGTGATGTTTCTAGGAAGAAGTTCCTGCAGCTGAGGTCGAAGAGGTTGCTGTCTATGCTCTCCTCAAGGATTTTGATGGATTCCTTTCTCACATTGAGGTCCTTCATCCATTTGGAGTCTATTTTTGTGTATGGTCTAAGGAAATGGTCCAGTTTCATTCTTCTGCATGTGGCCATCCAATTTTCCCAACACCATTTGTTGAAGAGACTGTCTTTTTTCCATTGGACATTCTTTCCGGCTTTGTCGAAGATTAGTTGACCATAAAGTTGAGCGTCTATTTCTGGGCTCTCTATTCTGTTCATTGATCTATGTGTCTGTTTTTGTGCCAGTACCATACTGTCTTGATGATGACAGCTTTGTAATAGAGCTTGAAGTCTGGAATTGTGATGCCACCAACTTTGGCTTTCTTTTTCAACATTCCTCTGGCTTTTCGAGGTCTTTTCTGGTTCCATATAAATTTTAGGATTATTTGTTCCATTTCTTTGAAAAAAAAAAAGGATGGTATTTTGATAGGGATTGCATTAAACATGTAGATTACTTTAGGTAACATCGACATTTTCACAATATTTGTTCTTCCAATCCATGAGCATGGAACATTTTTCCATTTCTTTGTGTCATCCTCAATTTCTTTTATGAGTACTTTATAGTTTTCTGAGTACAGATTCTTTGCCTCTTTGGTTAGATTTATTCCTAGGTATCTTATGGTTTTGGGTGCAATTGTAAATGGGATTGACTCCTTAATTTCTTTTTCTTCTGTCTTGTTGTTGGTGTTTAGAAATGCAACTGATTTCTGTGCATTGATTTTATATCCTGACACTTTACTGAATTCCTGTACAAGTTGTAGCAGATTTGGAGTGGAGTCTTTTGAGTTTTCCACATAAAATATCATATCATCTGCAAAGAGTGATAGTTTGACTTCTTCTTTGCCAATTTGGATACCTTTAATTTCTTTTTGTTGTCTGAGTGCTGAGGCTAGGATTTCTAGTACTATGTTGAAGAGCAGTGGTGATAACAGACATCGATGACGTGTTCCTGACCTTAGTGGAAAAGCTCTGTTTTTCCCCCATTGAGAACGATAGTTGCTGTGGGTTTTTCATAGATGGCTTTGATGATATTGAGGTATGTACCCTCTATTCCTATACTTTGAAGAGTTTTGATCAAGAAAGGATGCTGTACTTTGTCAAATGCCTTTTTAGCATCTATTGAGAGTATCCTATGGTTCTTATTCTTTCTTTTATTAATGTATTGTATCACATTGATTTATTTGTGGATGTTGAACCAACCTTGCAGCCCAGGAATAAATCCCACTTGGTCATGGTGAGTAATCCTTTTAATGTACTATTGGATCCTCTTGGCTAGTTTTTTGGTGAGAATTTTTGCATCTGTGTTCATCAAGGATATTGGTCTGTAATTCTCTTTTTTGATGGGGTCTTTGTCTGGTTTTGGGATCAAGGTAATGCTGGTCTCATGAAATGAGTTTGGAAGTTTTCCTTCCATTTCTATGTTTTGGAACAGTTTCAGGAGAATAGGAATTAATTCTTCTGTAAGTGTTTGGTAGAATTCCCCTGGGAAGCCATCTGGCCCTGGGCTCTTTTTTGTTGGGAGATTTTTGATGACTGCTTCAATCTCCTGACTGGTTATGGGTCTGCTCAGGTTTTCTGTTTCTTCCTGGTTCTGTTGTGGTAGTTTATATGGCTCTAGGAATGCACCCATTTCTTCCAGATTGTCAAATTTGCTGTCGTAGAGTTGCTCA